TTGGGTTCTTTTTTTTGGTTCGTCTTTCCCCCTCCCCCTTTCCCCCCAGGCGGCGCCGCATCTGCCTGGCTGGGTTTGCGACTACAGCTCCTCGCGTCGGCCCTTGTGGTGGCTGTAGCAGGTCTGGCCGTGTGGCGTAGCGGCGCCAGCATCACCCGACACCGTGACGGCCTGTCGTACGGCATCGGCGGAGGCGGCGGCGGCGGCAGCGCTGCCGCCGCCGACAGCCATGATGCCCTGGTCGCCAGCCTCGCCGGCCTGAGCCTGTCCTACGTGTTACCCGTCGTGGGACTGTTGAACGGCTTGCTGACCTCCACTGCGGAGACAGAGCAGGAAATGGTCGCGGTGGAGCGACTCACGCAATACATCGACGGCCTAGAACCGCAACCGGAGACGCTGCCGCCGCCTGAGGCAGTGTCGGCGGCGGATGCAGACGGCAGCGGCGGCGGCAGCTGCGGCGGCGGCGGCGGCGGCAGCAGCTCCGCCGTTGTGCGTTTTGAGTCGTTGGTGGTTCGTTACCTTCCGACGCTCCCGCCGGCGCTCGACGGTCTGAGTCTGGTGGTTGGTGAGGGGGAGCACGTGGGGCTGTGCGGGCGGACGGGTGCCGGGAAGAGCACCGTGGTGGCGGCGTTGCTTCGGCTGGTGGAGGCGGAGGCAGGTATGAGAACAGAAACACATACATACACACACATTCGTACACACACCATACAGCTGAACCCCCCGCTACACCTCATATGCGGCCGTCTCCGAAGGACAATCACACCGTCTTCACCGCCGCAGTCGTCGCCAACGTCATGCTTGGCGTTTGGGGATGGGTTCCTCAGTCGTACTTACAGAGTGCCCTGCTTACCCCAGAAAGGGGGAAGATGGGGCCCACTAGGCCCCCATCCCGCCCATCAGTGACCGTCGTCGTCGTCGTCATCTTCGTCGTCCCCACCTCTCCGCCTGCACCGCCTCTGCACACCTCACGCCGTCAAGCCCCTCAAGCCCCTCAAGCCCCATCTACGTCGTCCCGCGATCCAGTTCCTCTGTTCCTCTGTTCCTCTGTCGCCTTTTGACAGGCCGTGTGCTGCTGTACGGAGTGGATGTACGGGCCGTACCGCTGTCACGGCTGCGCGCCTCAGTGGGAGTGCTGCTGCAGCGCCCCTTCCTCGCCAGCGGCACTGTACGAGAGAATCTGGATCCGGTGGGGGCGATGGCAGCGGCGGCGGCGACGGGGGTGGTGAGCGGGAACGGCAGCGGCGCCGCCGCTGGCCATTCTGACACAGCGCTGTGCGCTGCGTTGCGCCGCGTGGGGCTGTGGGATGCGCTGGCGGCGGCGGCGATCCACCGCCGCTGTTGCGGCGGCGGCGCCTCAAGCGGCGTGGCGGCGGCGCCGGCGGCGGCGGCGGACGAAGTGCTGCGCCTTCCGCTGGGGTCCCTCCGCGGCGCTCTGGGTCTGAGCTCCGGACAGCAACAGCTGCTGTGCCTGGCGCGGCTGTTGCTGCGGCCCCGGCGGCTGGTGCTGCTGGACGAGTGCTCCGCGCACGTGGATCCCGCCACCGCCGCCGCCATCCGCCGCCTGGTCTCGGAGGAAATTCTTCAGCGG